ATGTTACGCGTTACTTTATGAGCACACACAAAACCATTGTATTTTTGCCCACCCTGTACCAATTGGAATCAACATGTGATACATTTTTAGAATCAGCTCAGCTAGAGTAATCCGAAAATTGAGACAAAATGGGGGTGTTCCATTTAAAAAAAAATGACGGTGACGTCATTACTCGAAAGTAATTCACCCTGTATATTAGATTATTATTTTAAAATACGATAAATTAAAATCAAAAATCGACGTGTTTCAGGATTATTTCTTAAAATGGTCTGTTTAGCTAATAATGAATTTGTTGCATACTTTACGGACACACTGTAGATTAAATATATAAAATATTTACATAACACACCTAGTCCATATTAAAATTTAAAAGACAATAGATACATAAAAACAAAAAGGTATGAACTGTATCGTTTTTGGAACGTCACATTTGGTCCATTAATGTGATTTTACTTTATGGGCTTTATGATAACATCTACAAGAAGTAAAAAGACTATCTTGGATATAACAGGAATGTCACATCTGGTTTGTTAAAAATTCATCATTTTTGGGAACTTCCAGTAACGTTGAATAACGTAACAAAGTAGCACTATAATATCACTGGAACGTCTACATTATTTCATCACAAAAGTAAACGTCCCTACTCTGGGCTTAGACGGTTATGAGTCCGTCCTATAGATGAAAACAAGAGTAAAAATGAGAATTACAATGTAACACTGTGATGTAAAGTTTTCATTCATTTGACGTTTTTATGCATAGTAGGATCGTTAATACATAGTAGGTATTAATTATTTAGTTTAAACCATTTTTTTATGAATTTCATATTTTTTGTTCGTTGTTGCATTTTTCCAGTTCGTGTGAATTAGGCCTAATGGGGATACCACAATAAAAAACACGTCGTGTATTCTACATCTTGGTGGTGTGGAAAGTAATACCATGTGGAAATATTTTCATGTGTAAATTAAATAATTAATGATTAATTATTAAATGAATACGAATCATTTTAATTTTCTTAAGTACGGATCTGTAATTGCAATTTTTATTGGTTTTTGTGAATGTTACTTCACATTCAATAAGTTTTTTTCAGGAATTTCCATGAAAAGGTTAAGTAAAATTAATTTCAATGAAGAAAAAATAATTAAATTCCCTTTAACTACAATTTGCATAGACTAAAATTCCCATAATGTGCATTTTAACGTTAAAGTTTTGGTAGTAAAACGGCATGCAGAAAAATAAAAAAATTATGAATGTATTCAGTTTTTATGCCCTTTACAAATTTGAAATTCAATTTTTAAAAATTTGATATATAGAGTGTTGTTTAAGGGTGGGTCAAATTTTAAAGATTTTTGTTAAGCCGGATCTGGATTTTGAAATTTTTTAGTGTGTCGATAAATTGTCCTATAGGTGTAGATTATCAAAAAAGTATACAGAGTGATTCAAAAGTTTTGGAGCACAGAAGAAATGGGTCAAATTCAAAAAACACCCTGTAACTCGGTTATAAAAGTCGCAAGACCCATACTATATAGATTTTTTGTAATGCCTGGGTGACCTCTATATAGGGTTAAAATATTTCACTTTCCAATGAACCACCCTGTATACAGGGTGTCCTTTAAAATGTGTCCCAAAATTCTCAGGCAGATTCCTTAATCAAAAAATGGAAAAAAAGTTCCTATAGACCTATGTCCTAAAGTGCCCCCTAAGCGAGCAACAGCCTCTCGAAATCATTTTTTTTATTTTGATTTTTTGAATTTTCTTAAAAATGGAAACAAATAAAAGAACCAAATTTTGGCTGTTAAATATGATCAATAATAGTGACCTTTTGACACCTTCAAAAAGAAATTATTTCGTCAGGGGTGTACTTGGGAATTTTTTGAAAATTTTGATTATTCATAACTTTTTTGTGTTTTTGGTAATGACTTATCCATATTTTTTTTTACATTCTACATTGAAAACTACGTCAAAAAGGAATACTTGTTTGATCTCGATTGGAGCAGCCGTTTCCGAGAAAACATCATCCAAAGATATTCGTCCACTTTAGCTTAATTTTCAATTTTCCTAAATTACCTCGGTGAATCTCGTAAATAAAAATAACTTTTTTAGCTCTCTCTAAATAATTGTAGTTCAAATGTCGTGGTGGGACTATTTGTATTTAATAATAAGAAACGGTTTAAAAAAATATTTATTCTAAAAAAACAAATCAAAAAAAATTAAAGCAGATGCTCAATGTGGCGACCATTGGTTTCCACACACAAGCGGAACCGTCGCATCATAGACTGTCTTACACGAAAAAATACTTCAGGATTATTCCTAAGAACTTCGCAATGATGAAAAACTCGTTCTTCCAATTCTTCAACTGTTTCAACAGGACTGGAATAAACCAATGATTTTAAATAACCCCAAACAAAAAAATCCATTGGATTTAGATCTGGTGAACGAGGTGGCCAGTTAACAGGACAACCTCTGCCAATTACCCTCAAATCTTTCGTTAAGGTGCTGTCTAGCTTCAAGGCTGTAATGTGGTGGAGCTCCATCATGCATAAACCACATGTTATGTCTGATTTGAATCGGAATATTATCAAGAAGCTCATGTAAGTTATTTTCCAAAAAAAGCCTGTATGCTGCTCCATTTAACCTATTGGCAAAACAAATGGTCCAATAAGGTAATTATCAATAACTCCAGCCCAGACGTTTATTGAAAATTTATCCTGGTGGTGACGTTCAACAACCGCGTGAGGGTTATCTTCAGCCCATTCATGCATATTTCGAAAATTTATTATACCATCTCTAGTGAAACTAGCTTCATCGGTAAATAGCACTTTATTAAGAAACATTGCATCTTGATTACATCTTCCAAGAAACCATTCAGAAAAGATAACTCGCGGCTCATAATCAGTAGCTTTAAGTGCCTGAACTTTTTGAATGTGGTAAGGGTACAATTGTTGTTCACGCAAAACTTTCCATACCGTGTTACGTCCGACTCCCACTTCTGAAATTAAATGAGAGAATCTGTGTAGTGAATAGTTAAGAAAGAGAATCCATTGATTTGGGAAATCAGATTTTTTCTGCATAACGCAACTCTTTTCGATACGAAAAGTCGTGAAATGTAAGAGAAGCAATAACAAGTAAAAAAACTAGTTTTATACGATAAGGTACGGGGTAGCTAAAATAATAAATAAGTAATTACTTACCATTTGCTATTTTTCTGGTACTTGTCGATGGGGTTTCAGCTACCCTATCCAAAATTGCTTCTTCCAAAGCAGGAGTTCTCACATAATTTTGTCTTCCACTGTTACTAGAGTTTTTCTTAAATGTACCAGTTTCCCGAAGTCTATCGTCAATTCTAGAAAACGTCTTAGCGCATGGAAGATGCCTATTTGGAAAGCGCTCCTGATAAAGTCTGCGAGCTTCATTGGCATTTCCAGAAGCGAGTCCAAAACATAAATGCATGTCCGTCATTTCGCCGAATGTGTAATCATTATTGTAGTTATTGTGAGCCATTTTAAACAAAATAATAACAATACAACGAATCGCACCAGAACACTTTTAGAAATAATGTTTAACTGAAGAAACATTTTTATCAGTGAGCGAAAAAAATTATCCATGAAACACAAAAACGCCAAAAAAATACATATTTTTACTTTTTTATTCTAAACAGCTAAATACAAACCTTATGGTCTTCATAATAAATAAATGGGAACTAAATTTTTAAATTTTATTTAGAGAGCTAAAAATAGTATACAGGGTGATTGATTAGTGTGAGGAAGCTCTGTAGATCTGTTATAATAAAAGTAGGCAGCTTTAAGCTTCACATTTTAAAATTAGTTACGATGTGACAGGGTGTTTCATAAGGCCGTGCCAAATCAAAGTTATGTTTTTTAAATGGAACACCCTGTATATTTTTATATTTTTAGAATCTGCTCGATAATCTGATTTCAATGATATATCACACTTGTTATCTAATATGAATAGTAAAGGATCTACAGCTACTCAAAAATCACATTTTTTCAAATTCAGGTGGCTGTTGTAGCCAAACAGTTGGAAATCGAGGAAAACGGCTTACAGTCCCTATCCTAACTTTTTAAGGTCTATTCAGTGACATAAAATACATATTATTTGATACAGGGTGATCAAAAATCCAAAATCACATCCTATTTTTGATCACCCTGTATCAACTAATATTTTTTGCCACTGAATAGACCTTCAAAAGTAAGGATAGGGACATGTAAGCCGTGTTCCTCGATTTCCAACTTTTTGGCTACAACAGCCAAAATTGAAAATTAACCTAAACTGCACGAATATCTTTGGATGATGTTTTCTCGGAAACGGCTGCTCCAATCGAGATCAAACAAGTATTCCTTTTTGACGTAGTTTTCAATGCAGAATGTAAAAAAAAATATGGATAAGTCATTACCAAAAACACAAAAAAGTTATGAATAATCAAAATTTTCAAAAAATTCCCAAGTACACCCCTGACGAAATAATTTCTTTTTGAAGGTGTCAAAAGGTCACTATTATTGATCATATTTAACAGCCAAAATTTGGTTCTTTTATTTGTTTCCATTTTTAAGAAAATTCAAAAAATCAAAATAAAAAAAATGATTTCGAGAGGCTGTTGCTCGCTTAGGGGGCACTTTAGGACATAGGTCTATAGGAACTTTTTTTCCATTTTTTGGTTAAGGAATCTGCCTGAGAATTTTGGGACACATTTTAAAGGACACCCTGTATATTCTAAAATATTTTTAAAATGTGTCTTGTTCAAATCCATATAACTTTTACTTAAAACTTGATGCATGTCTATAACACAAATTGAAATATCAAGCAATTACACGCACTAATGGACATCCTGTATACGTTCCTCCTTAAAATGAAAAGTGTATACATAGACCAATCATTATGTAGGAAAACGGGGATATTTTTCACAAAAAAAAAGTATGTAATGATTGGACTAAGAACAGCAATTAACGAAAAAACGAAATTTATCATAATGGTTTTCATTCTAGATCTAGAAGTAAACAGAAGATCGAGCCAAAAATTACAAACAAAACGAGGTCGAATACGAATACAACAGTGTACGACGTCTTAGACGTTAGAACACCACCGAGAGTTAAATTCCAAGAAAAACTCAAAATAAAACAACACGAAAATTCTCATCCAGGAGTCGCCATACCATTAGACGCCAATTCAGCTGTTCTAGAAGAAACGACCAATAAATCCGAGAAAAATATTACCGATAAAAGCACAACGACGTGGATTTTACTGAGCGGTCAAACATTTTCCACAACGCCCAAACCTGCGAACAATCATAATAAAAAACCACCAGAAAATGTTTCTGCAACACCAGTAGCACAAACAACGACAGCAAATGTTCTTTCATTGTTCCCAGCAATAAAGAAACAGAACAAAAATAAGATTATAAAAGAAAATGAATCAACTGAAATCAAAAAATCCCCGACGAAGATTGTTCAAAGTTCAAACTATACAGATAACGCTTCGAATATTACTCTGGAAGCAAAAGACGCTTCGATCAGCTTAGATAACGAACCTACGAAGAAAACTACGTCTAGTAAAAAGAAGAAAAACAAAAATAAACGTAGAAAACCTTCAGAGAAACACGCCAATAATACCGACTTGACAAACGCGATTAATAATCTTAAAGAAGGCACGATAGGTAACCAACTATACAGTTATTTATCACGGGAAATAGTTCCAACTCTCGGAGTCGGCTTGGTAGGTCTTGTAGTGACAGCTGGATTGGCGGGCTATTTCTTGTACCACCCATTCGGTCCAATCAGTAGAGTCGATACCAACATCGATCGTAAAGATGATAAAATCCATCAATATTATTACAGAGATAAGTATTCCGGGGGTATGCCCGAAGAGGAAGCCATCGGGGAGGTTATAGCGGGAATGTCAAATAATTTGTTCTTCAAAACGTCAACTTCCAAAACTCCCCATCCGAATAAAGGTTACAAAGCTATTAATACCGCCGGAAAGCATCAAAACATTAAAGGTTCCGTAGAGAAGGTGCCGTTTACCTTCGAAAAAGTACATCAAAGGGTCGCGGGGTATTACGAAGATAGCACTCAGTACCAGAACGATTATTTCGGGACTCCTACGGAAAAAACGGTTTTTGGGGTTGAAAATAAAATGGAGGAGTTGAATCAGGTGAAAATGTCCGAACATGGACCGAGAAATTTGAGAAACAAATGAAAAAGTTTTAGTAATTGGATAAATCGTTCCCACGCACTAAAATGATGACTTTGAATTTATATGTATCAAATAAGAAGTTCACAAGTTACGTACCGGAGTAGGGAGACAAATAATGGTTTTGGGATGAAGGAATAAATTGAAGATCTACTGCTGTCTCGTGTCACAATATCACTAGTTATCAGATTTAGAAAAACTGTGTAAACGGACATTTTAATATCCAAACACATGTTTACACAGTATTCTTAGACCTGTAAATGAATATTTAAATGTTATTTTTATTGAAAAATCGGTTTGAAGTTCTGCAAACAATGGTAGATGAAGTCTTTAGAAATCCCCAAATTTTTTTTCAAAATTATCTTTACTGAATATTGAAAACTATTTTTGAATCCCTGAAGTAAAAATTTATGGAACAAAAAAATTGACAGCTGAATTGTTAAAGTAGCATGCATGGAACACAAATATGTAAGTTCGATTACCCTCGAGTTTTTTCAATTTCAAAACGACCACAATGTTTTTTTTAGAATTTAGATGATGCTGATTAAGGTTTATTGAAAAATTTAATATTTTCTGTCACTGACAGATTCGAAATATATTAAAAATAACAATTCGGACATTTAATGTCCTGATAGCCAAATTGGTAAGGTAGTGTGCGTACAACACGAATAGGTGGGCTTGAAAACCCCACAGACCAATTTTTTCTTTAATTTTTTAATAAATGTTTTCTCTTTGGGGATTAATAGTTTTCAATATTTCGTAGAGGTAATTTTGGAAATATTATTTAAAGATTTCCAAATAATTCTTCTATCTTGTTATTTTAGATTCATTCTAAACATTATACAGGACGTTTAGTAAAGAATGTTCATACCATTTTAAGCGTACGTGGCATAGTATGATCGTTTCTCACTCTGCAATTGATTTTTTGTGATGTACTATTTATTTGATACCAGACACATTTTGAAATAGTATAATTAACCTTTTTAAAATAATTTATTTAATTTATTTCAATTTTATTTATATTATTTTTATGGTAGTAAATTATTATTACGTAAGTTGGTTTTTCTTTTTTTTTCCTCTAAAGAACCGTTATGATTTTCATGGAGATTCTCCCTAGCAATTTCCCTCTAGAGCTTGGATTATTACCGGAAATTTTTCCGAGTACATGATTTTCAAGGCAAAAATTCGAGTACGAAGAAAAGTTTCCGTTTATTCGGTAAGAAAATTTCACACCAAAATAAAAGTGACATTTTGCTTATGAAATATATACGAAACTAAAATTGCGAAGTAGGCTTTGTAACTGTCAACGAACCTTTTAACATTAACGGAAACTTTGTTTTTCGACAACCACTTCAGAAAATCACATATTCCGAATTGTTTTTTAAGCGCCAGAGTAGGCAATTCCGCATACATCCATAATTAGTGTGGAAATATTATTCCACACGGTAATTCCACACTGTTTAGTGCATCGAATAAATTGTCATATAACTTTTAGTACGAATGAAAAAACACAATAATATTATATTTTAAGGACATACCTATTTAACTAAATAATTCGTCCAAATACTAAAAATTTTGATTAATTTAGAAGAAAAAGTAAAATGTTTTATAACTTCTGTAATGTTGGTTGCCTATATATAAAAGAAAATACAAAAAAAATTCAAATCAAGTTACCCGATTTAAAATATTGACATTTCAAATCTTGACATTTATTTTATTTCGATATTTTTGACAATTACAAATAATAAAATAGCCAGAGATAGTAATAGTAGTGATTATTATATTCCACCACATATTAAAGAAATAGCGAATAAAATGACAGATTTATTGCCTCAAACATCGGCGAAAAAATACAACTTAGCTTATTCACCATTTATGGCTTATTTTGGGTAGCTATCAGTCTTTTAAATCTTTTACATTATGGTCAATTTACTCGATGTGTAATAAAAAATGGAAAAGTCACAACTGGGTAGGTATGCTACAAATTCTTAATGTAAAGTAGGTATATATAACAAAAAAAATAAGTGAGCAAATTATACATTTTAAAATTAGATTAAAGAAAAGTGTTACAAATTTAAAAAATGATAATGTAACAACCACCATCACTTAGAAAGTAACTGCTGTCACTAAATAACAATGTAGTGGCCAAAAGGACTCTAGTCATCAACTAGACACTGTACACTGTAAGTCTGTCACCAGTCACAGTCAGGGGATAAGGTCCTTAGAGCTTATCCACTCACACCGTGACAAAAAAGGAAAAAGATAAAAATAAAATAATAGGTTTAAAAATAAAAGATTTTTCCCCCGTGATGAATAGTGCGAGCAGGTTAAGGAATAATGGTTTGGCAAACTGATAATAGGCACCTATAGTCCTTACTCGGGGATAGGTTTGCCGGGGCTTCGCAAAAGTGCCCGGAGTGTCTTTTGACAAAAGGGGAAGGTAGACCTGATGAGGATGGTTATGTATGTATTGGTTTAGAATTAAAAGAAACACCTAAATAATTATTCAATTATCGAACTCTGGATTTGATTAGATAGCTTATCTGGACTAGTGGTTGTTCCTTTTTATGGAACTTGGGCTGAACTCAACAACTCTTAACACACATAAGATAAAAAACAGGTGAATGTTTAACAACTCAATATATTTAACTAAATATAGTTAAACATGTAACAATTTTAAATATGGAAAAAAAACTATCAAATAATATCCTATTTTTAGAGGTACAAGATCCACCCTGAGGTTCTCGCATGATTCGATAAATCAGCCGACGATAATAAAATACCGATAACTACTATGAGAACAAATGGCAAAACGTGTCAGAAATCTCGTTGGATCTTGTAGTCAAAAAAATAAACTATATCATTTCCTATAAAATCTACGACCCAGACAGCACACCAAATCCTTTGGATATCTACTGCACATCCCAATATCCACTGAATGTCCAGTCTATGGTGGATATCTATTTATATCCATGATATGTAATTTATAGACATGCAAATGTCCATAAATAATAGTAATTATATAGCAAATTATTAAAGAATTTCGCCATTGTGGCTAATAGTACCGTTCAGATATTTAAAATTAATTTTTTTAAGGTATATTCAATATCCCATGGACATCCACTAAATATATCAAAGTCTAGGCGCGAACGCAAACCATCGTGGATATCCACTAGATGTTATTTGATTTTGCTTACTAAGTATAGATGGCGATACTACTTTCGCATCTACTCATGCTCGACCCGCCGTAATTGAGTTCGATCGAAATTTTTGTTCTAATCAGACTCCATTAGAGACTGGAGTCGAGAATTTCCATTTATTGCTGAAGAGTCCTAATAAGGATGACTTTCTCCTTAGTGGGCAAAACCAAAGGCAGAGTGTTGAAAATATTTGAGTGTTGAAAATATTTTTTATCTTTGCTATTTTCTTTCGACGTTATTCAATAATCATTGGTTACTTATGAACCTCTACTAAAGATAAAATATGTTGCTGAATATCCGAATATCTTCTATATCCTGGGATATAGACGGACATTTGGTTGGTTATCCATATTGGTGAATATCCACAAAATATATTCTGTGGATATCTCTGGGATTTCTTGTATTTTCTGGAAGATACCCATTAGATATTTTGCTGGATATCCATTAGGCTATCTTCTATATTCTGGATGTAGACGGACATTTGGATATCCATATTAGATCCACGGAATATTTCTGATATCCTGTGGATATATTGGATATCCACAAAAGATATTCTGTGGATATCTCTGGGATTTGGTGTGTTGTCTGGGGAAGAGAGGTAACTAAATAATTTGGCAAATGAAAGGGGAACTGTCACAATTTTAATATAGTGAAAGAGGAAGCGTTACCTTGCTCGAAACGTAGTTTTGATTTCACTAAGTTTAAAATCGGTTAGCTGATATTTATTATTTAATCACTATTTTCAAAATTACTTTAAAATCCCCCGAAAAATATATATGTTGAATCTTATTTTTTTTTAAAGGTTACAACAATTCTCTTTTGACTAAATTTTGTATAAGTTTTAATTAATTTCCTTTTGATAAAGCTAGAATTTATAATTCTCACTAGCTTTCTAAAAATAAAAAAAGAGAATTATTGGTGCCCATCTCTCCCAGAAAACTATTATCCCAAAGGTGTCTATTAGAAAAGCCGAATTCACGACTAACTATGTGCTCATTTCTTTTTGATTTGATTAATGGTAAGTAATGTTTGGTGTTAAATTTCTGTGAGCTAGTCAAAATTTCTTATAAGTGTTTTAAAATTAACATTTTATTGCAAAGTAACGCCGATCTGTTACGACTCCAACAATAGGTTTCTTGATCTGATTTTCTTTAATTATAATTGTTCGGTTACATCTCCTAGTGCCAGAAGATAGTCATCATCCGGCTCTTGAAATATCATGCAAATTCAACGCCAAAGATTGTTCCAAACGAAATCATGCAGTTTCATTTGAAAAATGATATAACTTTTCTAAAGCAAATTACGTTATGCTGTATGATATGATTAGCAAAATTAACTGGGAATTTTTTGAAGTATTTAATGATATAGATGACGCTTGCTCCTATTTTTACGGGAAACTATACGTTTTTGATCGCTCTGTCCCCAAATACACTATTAAAACTAACAACAAATATCCTGCATGGTTTCTTCACAAATATTTAGAGTATTATATTTCACCCATGATATCATACGGCTTCGGTGGCATACCTCTATCCGATGGTCCATATTTTTAATGACTGAGACATAATTGATAACGGACTTCTTGTGGCCGAAATTGAGAATATGGACCTGGATAATATGTGTTTTCAACAGGATGGTGCCACTTGCCAAGAGCAATTCAAGAGCTAAAGGATGAGATAATTAGGCACATTAACGACATTAAACCTCAATTATGTCTTAGTCATTGAAAATATGGACCATCAGATAGAGGATAGAGTTATGCCACCGAAGCCGTGGCGAGCATTTGGCCGATATTTTGTTTCATACATAATTGTCATATATCCTTCTATCATAATAAAAAATATTAAGATAATTCTCTGAAAACTTTTTGTTTTATTTACAATTAACTTCGTGCGTTTTGGTTGGACCACCTTGAAAAAATTGTGTCTGTTGCATCAAAAATGTATGGGTTTGTGTTACGTATTAGTAGAGAGTTTTCAGATATAGAAACTCTTAAAATGCTGTATTTTTCATCGGGACAAGTTAAAATCAGTGCAGCCGCGATTTTTAAAATGCATTTACTTCAAACAGGATGGCGTTTATCCGGAAATAGGTACATCGATATATCTTAACATATATAACTTTACTGATCTTGAGACAAGGCGAAATTGTCATCTAATCATTTACATATACAAATTAGTACATAATACACCACTGCATAATATGTGTACATTATTTAACTTAGTCAGTAATACCATGGATATATTTAATTGTAGCGTATATAGCATTAAGTTTTTAAATCGGTATAGTATTTACCTATTCTTATGTTTTCGTAATTATTTTTGTCAGAACTTCCTGCTCTGTAATTGGAAATGCCTGTTCAGCATTCTATCAATAAATAAATATCATGGATTCCTACCTGGAACGCAATTTTTAAAATGTTTCCTTATATTGTTTGTACAATTTTTTATATGCACTTGATCGATTTAATGATGGACCCATTTGAACCAAATTTAAATAGATTGTGTAAAAAAAATAAACAATAAACTTAAAATTATATATTTTACAATAAACATAAAGCAATTGACAAACTACTAATTAATAAAAAATTGCTAAAATACGTAAAAATAATAATTATCATCAATAATTAACAAGTCTAATCCTCCACTTCGCCCTCTTGAGGCAACTCATCCAATAAACCGACTTGTTGGGCGTAATTCAGACTCTCGATGTAATTTGAATGGAATTCTTGCGCCGCGACTTCGTCGTCGAACGTCGCTTTCAAATTTCTCCATTGCACGTTTTCTGCCCATTCAATCGCCTTCCATGTACATTCGTTTTTGTCGAGCTACAAATTTTGAGGAAAACAGAATTATTTATAATTTAAGATTCATATTTATAAACAGAACTCAGCTGAGTCAGACGTCCTTGAACTAAACTCGAAGTTCGGTTACAACGTCTCCGAAGTTTCAGGTGGTTCCGGTGTTACACTGGAATTTAGAGATAGATATTAACAAATCTGTTAAGTACATTTACGCATTTGTTAGTACCCATCTCTAAATTCAGGCGAGATAACTGAACTTCGATTTTAGTTCAAGTATGACTCAGCTAAGTTCTGTTTAAAAATACGGATGTAAATCTCAGTCCCGTATGCTTACAAACTGACGTCATTCAAATCATGTTGCCATATTATTATGTAGTTTGTTGATAGCGATGTTCAAATGAAAATATAAAAAATTGATTTTGTATAAAACTTTTTTTATACTAAATTTGATTCCGCTTAAATAACTTACGTCCATTATAGTATTAAATCCTATCAAGGTATGGCTCAACAATTTTCCTTCGGTATCGGTGACTTGTATCCTGCATGCGTACAGCTCAGGATCGTAATAAACCTGCAAATCGCCCTGCCCCACCGTCTGCCACTCATTATCGGACTGCAATTCGCTCAGCGTGCACTCCTTCATGAACATAACCGATCGCTCCTCCTCATCGTCCTCGTCCTCCTCTTCGCCGTACTCCTCATCATACTCGTCTTTGTAATACACTTCTTCTACGCCTACGCTCGCGCTATCGCCGACGCTTTCGAAATCCTGCACCGATACGGGCACCTCCACCACTTGTTGCTGCTCCTTCTTCTGCACCTTGCCTATCGCCTCGTCGATCATAACTTTGAATTGGTTGGCGAGCTGTTGGTTCTTGAAGCGTACGGCCAATTTTTCCAAAGCGTTTTCGCCTTCGGTGTAGTTGTAGCCGGCCCACATCCAAGCCTTATCGGACGTCATCATCGGTTGTAGTTCGAAATTCGCCGTGATCAATTGGTTCAGGACGATTTTGTGAACTTGTTCGCGACGCAATAACAGTCGGTACGTATCTGTAATATAAACATTTCTTGGGGCTTACTTTGATTATAACTTCAGTTATGCAGTTCTCATTTGAGTTTTTTAAGTCTATATAACCACAAAATACTGATTAGACTAAATAATGTGGTTATATCCGTAGACTTGAAAATTAAAATTATACAGTTCGGGGAAAAAAAAAACTGAAAATATACTATGGTCAGGCCTAGGCAATGTATTTCTAATAGGACTTATGTTGTCGTCTTTTCGATAGCTGTGACAGGATCAGCTCAGTACTAGTCAATATTTTATTTATTAATTTACGGGCAAGCCCATTTGAAAAATAACTTACAATTTTAAATTATAATTCAAATGTAGTGAAATATATATATGGTGCTGAAATTCAAACGTGGTATAATTCATTACATATAGATTTAAATAGGTAAAGAATTTAAAAGATTTAAAAAGACAAAAGACAATAAGGTTGAATAGAATATTTACATTAAACAGTAAAAATTAAAGATCAAAGATTAAAGCTCAGTACTAAGTAATTGCTTTATAAATTTATGAAAGGGGGTGTTAAATATTTCAAGATCATTATGAGTGTTGGCTAATCTTAACATTCTTGGAATACAGCTGCTAAAAGTATGGTTTAATCGATAAAAAAGTATATAAAATGTTTGTTGCAGTCGAGTTGAGCGCATTGGAACATAAAGATTTATTTTTGTTAGAAGTTCAGTACAGTTGCATCTGCCATTGATAATTTTGAAAAGTAATGTCAGGTCTCTCTGTTTTCTCCTAGTTTCCAAAGAAGGGATGTTTAGAAAATTCTCTATCAAACCATACTCGCAAAGGAGACCCAATTTATAGGCTATGTATTTAAGAAATTTATGTGGAGACCAGACAGAAGAGCAATAATCTAGGTTAGATCGAACTAGTGAACAATAAAGGATTTTAATTGAAGTTGTGTCGGTAAAATCATGTGTTAGCCTTTTGATAAAACCTAACATTTTCATGGATTTATGGATAGCCTTAGGTATGTGTTGGTTGAAGCTAAAAGAGGGATCTAGAATGACTCCAAGGTCTTTAATTTGATTAACAGACTACAAGATATGACCATTTAAGTTATAATCAAAAGTAGTAGTTGGTACATGGGATCGATAAGAGCGCATGACATGGCACTTTATGGCATTCAAGTCCATGCCATTTAAGGAACACTAGTTTGATAGATTATCAAGGTCAGACTGATGCCAAAGGGCATCATAAATGGTTTTAATAACTAGGAAAACTTTTAAATCATCTGCAAACAATAGTGCTTTGCCGTACTGAAAACAATGAATGATGTCAGTTATAAATAAGTTGAATAATAAGGGATCAAGGTGTGATCCTTGAGGAACACCTGAGGTAACTTCAAATGAGTTAGAATAGTGATGGTTCACATAGTGATGGATCACTCTAACCATTTGAGTTCTGTTCGTAAGATAGCTACTAATCCATTGCAGTACGACCTCATTTATGCCATATTTATCGAGCTTTTTAAGTAACAGAGAATGGTTAACCCTGTCAAAAGCCTTAGAAAAATCAGAGTACACAGAATCAATCTGGTAACCTTTCTCCAAAGCTTCCGACAGGAAGTCGACGTAGGTAACTAGATTTAATTCAGTCGATTTCCCATCACAAAAACCATATTGATTATCTGTTATGATGCCAGTCATAGATAAGGTAGTCTATTATATTCTCAAAAACCTTAAGTATAGTACTCAGAATAGATATAGGTCGGTAATTTTTGACGTCTGACTTGCTACCTGATTTGTATATTGGGGTGACAAACTAGTTTCCAATAATATGGAAACTCACCAGTGGCGATAGATTTATTGAAAATATAGAAGAGAGAGCGAGACAATACGAAGCTTCAATTTTTGAGTAGGTTGGGAGGATTAATGTCAGCACCTGAATCTTTCTTTATGTCAAGATTAGATAATTTCTTGTAAATGGTCGAAATAAGAATGTGCTAAGAGGAAATATTAAGTTTTGATTCGATATTGTTAAAATTTTGATTTAGATTTTGATTAGTGTAAACTGATGAAAAATGTTTGGAAAACAGATTTGATACTTCACTTGCCACAAGAAGCAAAAGAGTCTTCAAGGTTCATATTATCAGGTATGGTGTAATTAAATCTTTTAGAACTTACAAAATTCCAAAAGGTTTTAACATTACTTTTAACAGAAGTTTCAACAGAATGTATGTAATTTGAATAGCAGTCTCTAGATATAATCATGCATTGCGATCTTAACTAACTGAATATTTTATAATTTTGGGGAGTCCTGTTTAGCTTGTAAATCAGTATCATTAGAGCATGGATTATTGGTTGCATATATGAGGACCTTTTGTCTTTCTTGATGTCTAATTGGACGGCTTTCTGTAGAAAGGAAGCAAAAAACAAATTTGTGATTTTTAGACTTTCACATAATAATGCATTACGAACCGTAACTTTACTACAAAAAAAGAACCGAGCCTCATTTAGGTACTCACTTGTTAGCCAATACTGCAGAAGCAATCCAAGCGGCTTGGTTGCTTTCTGCTTAATAGAGAAGATGTGACAGTTCGTTATTTGATTCTTTGTGAAAGTGAGTGCGAAGTATTAAAAATAGGAAAACGATTTTTTTTGTGATACAATATGAATGATAATATCAGCATATCCCAAAGAATTCTACTGATGACAAAAGCTATTGAGTAGGAGAAGGAAAACCCAAGCTTTCAAAACGCGTAAGATACTTCTTGATAAAAAAATCTTTTAAAATGGATGGATTCTGGAGATTAAAGAAAAAAACGATTTTTTTTAAATTTGTTGACCTCTAGAGACCAACCAAACCAAGTTGGTACCTATATAGACACGTTTGGTTAAACCATATGGAGTTATAAGGTAGGAAGACGCTATAAGTATCTTTTTCAAACATTCAAGACGGTATCACTTGGCGCGGGATGTTGTCAACTCCATATGGCCGATCCGCCAGATACGGACTTTTCTGAATAAAACCCAAATATACATTTTTTTTGTGTGTCATCGGCTTCAACTACTCTGTTTATTTCGCCTCGTGTTTTGTGTAGGCTTTGTTACTACTACTAATAATTTTTGTAAGTTACGGACTTATTTTCAAACTTGAATTTGAATTCTCATTGGCTTTAAAAGTACTCTATTCTTTCAAGATTTTCATGTGAAATGTCATATGTCAACGTGAAAACAGTATTTTTAAAGCCAATGAGAATTCAAATTCTTGAGAGAATTTTAATCCTCACGAAATAAACAAAAAAAAAAAACAGTCTGTGAGGTTTCATTGGCTTTAAAAATACTGTTTTTACGATGACGTATGACATTCCTCATGAAAATCTTGAGTCGAGTTTGAAAATAGCCCCCCAGAAATTGCTGGCCGGTGGAATTATTGTTGTGGCCTCCATGTAAGTGAATACAATGGTCTTGAGATATTTGGCATATTGGTAAAAACTGTAAATGTGAGTCGGTGTTGTAAATTTCGTATTTTTAAGGCAGTAATATACCTATCCATGTCATTTAAAAAAAGTTTCTAGACCTTCATAATTGTTTAAAGACAAATGCTGCACAATTAATATCTCAAATACGGTCCTGTACATTGTTTACTATGTTGTATATTTAGTTGTGGAATGTTATTTCAAATAATTTCTTCATATAAATATCTATTAGGTTGCTAAAAATACGTTGAGCATAAGCAACCAATATTTAACTTTTAATATGTACAATATATTTAGTTTGCAAACGACATAAAAATAGAAAAAAAAAACGTTGATTGAAACCACGATTAGCTGTTTGAAGGATTCGTGAACGCAATATGGCGGAAGTGAACCCGTCTTGAACCACGTGACAGCGTCTGTCTACCACGACTGGCTAAAGAGCCCAAGCCAATCCATATTATTGCGCAGGCGTCAGTAGCTCTATCAGTAATAATGGTTTAAGGTTATGTCAATTGGCACTTTGATCTTGTGTTGATCTTTGACAGTCTTTGATTTTTACATTGTAATTTTTTGGTCAAAGAATTTGCATTGGTGTTTAAGTTTATCTCTCGTAAATTATGGCGGTTTTGTGTGATATGTGCAATAGTATTTATTCCAATCAATCAAATTTAAACAAACATATTCGGAATGTTCACAATATACAGACAGGGCCTGTATCTTATGACAAAAGTGTTTGGAGCTATAGATGTTTGGAGGATGGTTGTAATCATTCGTTTCAGCAGAATAAGGCATTGATTTCTCATTTAACAAAAATGCATAATCTAAATTTTGAAAGTGAAGAAATTTACGTAAAAGATATGAATGGTATGTATTTAACCTTATAAATATTAAATTTAACCCAAGTTATCAATATCCTTTATTAGGAGCCCTAAAACAAAATATTTTTTTTTTTTAGAATTTTATTTATGGAAGTCTTCAGTTGAGAGAACAAATAAATCAAGCTACATTTTGAAGTCGAAATTCAGCAGTACTAATGGGGAAATGGTATCATACTACAATTGTAATAGAACTAAGACAGGTAATCTATTTGTAAATTCTCTAAATTAGTACTTTTAAACTTGATACAATTTTTAGGAAAACATCCAAGAGACAGAAATAAGTTGTACAAACGTTTATTGAAGAGTGGGGGAACATGTAAAATGGATTCATCATGCACTAGCCAAATTAAGTTAATTAGTAAACCAGATAAATTATTTATTCAGTGGCAAAGAACTCATTATGGACATAAAACTGAAATAAAGCATATAAGACTATCTCAGGAACATCGACAAGAGATTGCATTAAAATTAATAAACGGAGTCAAACCAGTAAAGTAAGTTAGGATTATAATGTGCAGCACACTTATTTTAAATGTATTTTTTTTTAGAATATTAGAAACAGCACGAGACAATATACAAAAAAATCTTAGGAGAATAGATCTGTTAACAACCAAAGATATTCAGAATATCAAAACTTCTTATAATATTGAAATTGGGGATGGCAAAAGACATGTTAATGATGCTACATCGGTAGACTTATGGGTTGAAGAATGTTATTCAGAAGGTACAGAAGATAATCCTGTTTTATTTTATAAAAGACAAGGAGAGATATTAGAAGAAGTAGAGTTAGAAATAATTGATTTTTGTTTAATTGTGATGAACAAATCACAAAAGATGATGTTTAAAGATTTTGGAGAAAACATCATAGCTGTAGATGGCACACATGGCCTTAACGGCTATGATTTTGAATTAACTACCCTACTGGTCATTGACGAATTCAGACAAGGGTTTCCTGTTGCATATATGTTTTGCAACCGAAAAGATACATATGTGTACAAATTGTTTTTTCAAACAATAAAATTAAAAGTCGGTACTGTTGAACCAAAAATATTTATGTCAGACATGGCAGAAGAATTTTACAAAGCTTGGATTTTGCTCCACACCATCTTTTTTGTGCATGGCATGTAGACCGGGCATGGCAAAATAATTTGAATAAAATAAAATCCATTGAAAAACGTAGCCAAGTATACAAAACTTTGAAAGTTCTTCAACAAGAAACTTCGGAATCTGATTTCTTAGGTACATTAAACAACTCTGTAAAAAATATGTTAGAAGATAAGGAAACTGCAGACTTTGGTGTTTATTTCAGAGACAACTATACCATTAATCACCAGAAGTGGGCCTACTGTTTCCGGAAAGGATATATCATCAATACAAATATGCACCTCGAGTCAATGCATAAGGTAATAAAGTACTTTTATCTAGAGCGCAAGACAGTCAGACGTTTAGATAAAGGATTGAGTGCTGTTTTAAAATATACTAGAGACAAAAGTATAGAGAGAATAATAAAATTAACTAAAGGAAAAAATACCACTCATTCAACTACTATTTTCAAAAAGCATAATGAAGCTTTAACTTTAAAATATAAAGTGCAAACCCATATTGAATTCTGGGAAGTGATTAAAGAAGATGAGACAATTTATAGAGTACATAGAATACCTGATAAAAGCAAATGCTGTGAAGATTTTTGTCATAGCTGTAATATATGTAAACACATGTATTCTTGTACTTGTGGGGATTATATTACAAATTTGACAATTTGTAAACATATTCATTATATTGTTTATAGATTGATGGAAATGAAACATTTATATCAACTGTGGTCAAAGATGGATCTTCAAACACTAAAAATTAGAAGAAATGGTAAATGCAACCTTTTGGAAATTACAAAATATGGATTTAGGAAGCTTACATAATGATGTAATACATCAGATCCATGAAAATTTGAAAATAGAAAATAATTTGATGAAACTACCCCAAATTGACACTGAAAATAATGTGTTAATATCAAATAACAATCAATCTGCCAAAAGAATTATTCGACCACAATTACGATATTCATCGACTCACAAGAAAAGAAAAGTGCGTAAAACACAGTTCAAAAGACCCACTAAAAAAGAAGCAAAAAGTATTTCGAATGTGCTAAATGATAAACCAGATCTTTTTATTTCCACATTGGCTTCCTATGATCACCAATATAATGCACTTGTTTAATTTATATTTAAAATATAGTTTTATATATTAATTATGTAGTTTTCTTTTAGTACTTAAACCAAATAATCATTTTTACTAGTTCGTTGAAATGTAAACTCATACATAGGTAGTATATTGATCTTTGATTATTTTGCATTTGATAATTATTACATACTTAAATCAGCAATATAAATCATGTTGTTTAAACAAGACAATTTATTAGGTAGAAAATAATAATAACAATAGAAAATATATAGTTCTGTTTCTTGTCTTACATAAAACTCAACATAAAATAAAAACGAAATTGCAAAAAAGTTATACCAATACTGTATGTGAATTTATACATGTTTCACACATCCAGAATTGGTCATGTGAAAAAGAAGAAAAGTTTTTCATGTAATTATTTTTTAAACACAAAATTGGTTAGAACTTCAAATTTCGTGCGATCTATCAAAATGTAAACAGACAAACCTAACCTAACAAATAATTTCTACCAACGCCTGCGCAATGATATGGATTGACTTGGGCTCTTTAGCCAGTCGTCTCCCTACCTTCTACCTCCATGGGTTAAACCAACTTATTTTAAGTCTATAAATATGTGGTAGCTCCATGTACACGCAATTTCCGAACATCCTGTGTATATTTTGTTATAAGATAGATAAGTAAGAATATGAAGAATTCAGAAAATATTAAATTGGAATTTAAGTATTAAAATAAACGTAAATTACTTACGTTTTTCGCGATGTTGTAAAATTTTCAATTGTCCCACGCCCCTCTCCTTCCATTCCACGGTGTTCGCGTCGAATCTGAACAGTTTCGCCCGTTCGTTGAACAAAACGTCTTCGTTTTCTTCGCCGGTCGTGACGACAATTTGATCGGGAAGCGGAACGATCGGTTCGTAATGTGGATCATAATCTTCGGTATTCTGACCGTCTTCCGTGTCGTCTTCGTTTTGTGAAGTATCAGCTTTCGCCGTTCCCGTCGATTTGTTTTTCAACGACCCGAAAACCGGCGCTCCGGCTCCGACGAAAGCGAAACTGTTATTTTCTGCAAAAAAAAGAGGTTAAGAGCAAACCGAACACCTTGCAAATTTATAATTCCTTTTGAGCCTTTGCATAACGCATTCCAAGTGTCATTAAGAAAGTGGTTAGTCTTCAAGTCTCAAATCAAATAGTGCTTTATTGTCTGAAGTAAAAAACTAATTGACAAAGCTGGTAAAAAAGAAAACAAATACAAAAGATATAAAAAATATACAGGGTGTCATTGAAATAGTGTAAAAAAATTCGGGAGGTAATAGTACTCTTAAAACTAGTAAAAAAAGTTTCTATAACTATGGGTCGTTAAATGCATATTAAGAGATTTAGGGGAGTCAAAAGGGCAAACTTGGAAAGTGGTTTTTTTGAAATTGTAAGCTTAAAAAACACGATAAAACTTCGAAAAAAATCACTGCTGACATAAAATTTACTGCTGAATCCAATGGTAATATCGAAAAATTACTTATTTTAAGGGGTCGATTTATGATTAACTTTTTAGGGGTTGATTTTTTTACAACATGGGTCTATTTTTTAAAAACTACTAACTTTTTTCTATAAAAAAGAGGTACTCTTATTGCAAGTCGCTTAAAGCAATGGTTTTCGAGAAAATTGAAGGCAAACATTTTACTGAACCCGTATTTGAAAAACAAGTATGTATTTATTTTTTGATGGGTTGCTCACAGGTTAATCAAAATAAATTTATGAAAATTATGGCGTGGTTATTTCAATTTAGAATTACCAAATCGTCCTGTTAAACAAGAGAAGCGCCGAAATTATTTTAAATAATAAAAGAGTGAGAAATTAAAGTGAAAAATATTTTATTACTATTATGGAAAGTACCGTATTTTTTTTATCATATCAGTCTGACTCTTTTATTTAAAGTAAATGTTCAATGTGGCCACCATTCATTTCAATACAGACACCTGCTCTTCTCCTCCAGGATCTGCGTACCCTATCGAAAATCCTTGGCGTTGTACGAATTTAATTGGAGCAGTCAATTATCCGTTGTCGTAGTTGCTCTTCAGTATTAATCGGCACTGAGTAAACTAAAGCTTTTAAGTGACCCCATAAGTAGAAATCAAGTGGATTAAGATCTGGTGATCTGGCTGGCCAAGCTTGTGGACCACCACGTCCTATCCAACGCCTCTCGAAAACTTGATTTAAATGATTTCTCACGGCTAGTGGAAAATGAGGTGGTGCACCATCGTGCATAAAATACATAATATGCCTCTGTGCTATTGGAACTTCCTCCAAAAGTATTGGTAAATGGTTTACCAAAAAATGAAGGTAATTTTGTCCATTAAGCCTAAAAGCATAATAATAATTAGGAATTGGTGACGTTTGAACAGTTTTAAAATTTACCTATTGGGTAGAAAGAATGGTCCAATAAGTCTATCTTGGTGTCGGCTTTCTATGACAGCATGAGGATTTTGATCGTACCAGTAATGGGTGTTGTGGTAATTAACAATCCCATTTTTGGTAAACCCTGCTTCATCAGTGCATAAAATGTTTGACAGAAAAAAGGGATCTTCTACCAGTTTTCCTAATAGGAGGAGGAGGATTAAGGGCTTGTACCCTTTGGATGTGGTATGGATACAGCAGTTGAGTATGAAGAGTCATCCACACAGTATGGCGACTTACGTTTTCTCGCGCTGCAATTCTCCTTACAGATTACCCTGGATCTTCCTCTACACTTCTTAAAATTCGCTCTTCAATTGCTGGTGTACGCACTGTAACATTACGGCTGCGATCATGGTGCCTGTTACTAAATGAACCTTCGTCTCTCAGGCGCTGATGGACTCTGGCAAATATCCTATGAGAGGGTGCTCTGCGATTTGGATATTTTTAAATATACAAACGTTTAGCTAAAAGACCGTTTCCGTTCGCTCTTTCATAAATAAAATGCATATCTGTCAGTTGAAGTACAGTGTATTCCATAATTTCTGGTATATTACGCTTACGTACACTTCAACAACAAGAAACTGACAGAAATACTTAAAAACCAGAATAATTTTAGGCAAAATTATTTACAATTCCTTTTTGCTAAATTAAAATAAAAAAATTGTGATAAGGCTATTGTTCTGTAATTTGATTAATTTGATTATTCCATTTACAAAAAGTATTCATTGACAGTGGCGTGCCCACAAATTTCTTCTGGGGTTTGGGTTGCCACTTACCTTCCGATTGTAAAGTTGAGAGAAAAAAATTGACCGACAGACAAAAAATAATTTTTCATAATAAAATTTCTTCGACATTACTTGAAAATATTTTTTTTTCTTTAGTGTTTATGAGTTTTTTGGGAGGTCGATTAGTTTAACACGTCACAATTTTCATAAATTTATGTTTATTAATCTGTGAGATACCCATTAAAAAATAAGTAATTTTACTTTTAATTTTTCAACTACAGGTTTACCAAACTTTTTGCCTTCAATTTTCTCGAAAACGGTTGCTTTAAGCGACTTGCAATAAGAGTAACTTTTTTTATGGAAAAAAGGTAGTTGTTTTTAAAAAATCAACCCCTAAAAAGTCAATCATAAATCGACCCCTTACCCTTGCAAGAACTACCCTTTCTGATTAAATAAGTAATTTTTCGATATTACCATTGGATTCAGCAGTAAATTTTATGTCAACAGGCATTTTTTTAGAAGTTTTATCGTGTTTTTTAAGTTTACAATTTCAAAAAAACCACTTTCCAAGTTTGTCCTTTTGACGCCCCTAAATCCCTTAATATGTATTTAACGACCCATAGTTATAGGAACTTTTTTACTAGTTTTAGGAGCACTATCACCTCCCGAATTTTTTTACACTATTTCAATGACACCCTGTATATTGTTCTATAATTAATATAGTAATTAATAAAATTAATGGTATTATAAGTATATCTTTTAATTAAATCCAAAGAACGTAAATTTCTGGATGATATTCTTAAGCCTTTAGTAACCCAACTTTTTTCTTTTTATTTCTTATTTTCCTAGGAGGAAATGCCTTATCAAAAACTTTTTGTAACTGACTATGAAAATGTTTCAACGGTTCAGCTTCTGTTAAAATATTGTGCCAACTTACATTACTACATATGGGTGAAAACCTTAGATTAAAGAGACCGAAGATGTAACATTGCACACTGCGCATGTTGTCTATTTTAAGCCAAAGTAACCCACCAATTGAAAATCATTGTAAACTTGTAAACGTAGTCCAGTGTATGGTGTTTGTAAAATTGCTCCTGTTAAAGTTTAAATATTTTTATGGTTCTAAGTGTCTAAAAATTATGAATTATGAACCAATGACTACAAAAGTGATTGGTTAACCACTCTTACAACTGTGAGTAAAAACACTTGATTAATACGAAATCTTTACATACTTTTCATCATTTACTCTACTGAAGTATATATCAGCCAACGGCTGGGACTAGTTTTTGTGCTCGAGATAGTAAAGATAACATCAAGAGATAATAATAAAATTAATTTATATTGTATCCAATATTTCGTTTAGTAAACTACGTTTACACAAATTTATTGTTGAACTTTAATTAAATCATGACGGAGGCAGTTATCAAAAAACTACTCGAAGAAAATTCAAGAAAGCTTATAGATGTTATGGAGAGCAATAAAACTGAGCTTAAGAATGCATTAAGTTCCTGCGAAACGAGATTACAGTCGTCTATTGAGCTAGAAAGTAAAAAAGTACGAGATCTGGAAGAAGAAAATTTCAAATTAAAAAATAAAGTTGAACAGTTGGAAATAACTCTAAAAAGAAACAACATTATTATATTTGGTCTTAAAAAAACCAATAATACAATAAACTTAAATTTTATCATCGATATAATTAATAAACTTTTCGACATAAGTTTAATTGATTCGGATATCTCCAACTTTTACTCTTTGGGCAGAGACCTCAATGCTCCTCTAAAAATTGAATTTTGTAGCTATCTCAAAAAAAAAGTATTCTTCTCAATTCCAATAAATTAAAGAATACAGGAGTTTTTGTGGCGAATGATTTAACTGAACTTCAAAGAGCTCAGTATAAACAACTCAAGGAATATCTTTTGAAATATAAGGAAGAAGGCAAACATTGCTTCATACGAGGCAACAAATTAATTTTGGAAAATACAAGTTACTCACTGGATGATCTAGATAGTCTAAAAACTCAAAAAATCGATAGTGCCCCTTCCACTCCAGGCTCAAGTTCTGACCCCTTTAACATACAGTTGGAAGACAAACCTACGAAGCAAGCCGTCGCCGCCAACTCAACCATTTTGAAGTTGGATAAATTGGGTAAAGTGCATCAAGTTCCTGTGGTTAAGAAGACCACACGCTCAACTTCAAAACAGTAGCAAACTTCTAGCCTCTTAAGGTCGAGTTGCTGAAATTTTGTCGCGTTAGCATAAATATTTGCTTATTATTATACATTTATTATTTATCTCTCATACTTTTAGAAGGTTTTAGTTTTAGTTTTCTGAGCTTTTATACTCTTTTTTTTTAGCATATATTTTATTAGGTGTGTTTTTTTTTATATGCTTTTGGTCAATGGCTTTTACTGTAGGGCATTTAAATGTCTGTTCGCTTTTTCCCAAAATTAATAATATTAAAAATCTGGTTACGTCTAAAAATTTTGATATTTTTTGTATATCTGAAACTTGGTTACACAATAGAATTGATGATGAACTAGTTAATTTAAAAGGTTACAACTTGATTAGAAACGATAGATCTATGAAACGGGGAGGTGGTGTGGCAATCTACTTAAAAAAATCAATTGAATATAAGGTTTTGCTTATAGAGAATTTTGAGTCTATTGAACAACTTTGGATACTATTCAAAACAAATAATGTAAAATATGGATTAGGTGTAGTTTACAGGCCTCCTAATAACACCAATGACATTTACCAGTCTTTTCTCAATCATTTTGAAAATGCATTAATTCATGTTTACCCGGAAGTAGATAAAATGTTGTGTCTTGGCGATTTTAATGTCGATAATTTAAAACTTCAATCTCAAAAACTTAATGATCTAATATCTG